TATTGCGCTAGCTCACGTGGTTGCAGTGCTACCGGGATTTAAAAATAGTTACGCAAAACAGAGCGTGCTGCTCTGACCGGTTTTAAAGGGTTAAATAAGACCTGAAACTACCATTTGAGAAGATAAACATCAGGAAAGTGTTTACTGAGGTCACAAATTAAATTAGCAGCAGCTTCAACACACTCAGACTCACCGCCTGCTGGCCAATAAGCAGAATGCATGCTTTAATTTATAAAGTACTTATTGTAGGTAACTGTGTTTATAATACTTTAAAACCTTTCAAACTGAATGAAAGCAAATTAAATCAACAGGATGGGACTTGAACTCCAAAACATCCATGTACGCACACGTCAACTGAAGTTCAGTTAAAATAGGCCCAGGCAGAACTTTCTTGTTATGCTCATTTGTACCACATGATGGCGCCTGTGAGTCAGTGTAGAATCCAGTCTGCCCTGAGCTGTGCCTTTAGGGTGCATCCATCCTTTATATACAGTCTAGACTGCAGGTTTTTTTATCCACAGAAAATTCAAAGCGAGGACATGCTGTACCTGTCGGACTGCACGAGTCTGTGGATCTTCTTGTGGTCCGTGATTTCCTCCAGCATTTCCGTGAAACCTTTTCCTCTCCTCAACCAGCCGTGACGCCACACTGCCAACAGCGTGTCATCAAAATACACTGTACAGACAAACAAGAGTCAGTGCTGAGCCTTCAGCGTCTCCGATATTCACCATAACCAGGCTCTCACTCCTTCCTCTCACCTATAGATTCAACATCTTGAGAGAAGATGGTCTCAGAGTGCTGCGTTCTGCCGCTCTTAAACTCCCCATCAAGACCAACTATTTGTACCGACCCTGTGGAGGAGAGAGGGGCAGTGTTTGTGTTAGAATATCTCTGTGGAAACATGAAGGCAGACAGCATTATGGTGCTCAAATTATAACGAGGAGTTAAAATAGTCCTTAGGCAACATAATACATATCTGGAGCTGTTGTCAGGTTAGTCAGACTGAAAGTAACTCAGAAAGGCTCAAAGTTTCTTTGTATCTGAGCTTTTAAGACAAATAAATTTTCAGTATGTCAGAATCAACACGGCACCATAACATCATTATAGCAGTGCTCTCCTTAAGAGAGCGGACAGGTTAATATGAAAGACAACCACTCAAAACTGGCTCCAAAGGCGAATTATCTGCCATGTTGGTCGCTTTAACAAAATGAACAAGTTGCAATCCAGCTGTGTCGGTTTGCACAGATGGGAGCATCTTTATTCAACGTGCTGTATCTGGTTATAATCCCATTTGAAATGAAGGTTGCAGAGAGCCTTCGTCATTCTGCAGTTAAGAGTTTCTGTATCTGATTTACAACAGATTTTTGCTGCTTTATTACAGTTATATATTCCATATTACAGATGTGATTTAAATGCCAACCTGATCCCATTCAATCACAAACCAATCACAGACTGTTTGCTGGTTATTTGCCCTTTCATTGGCATCTTGATGCATCGAAGTCACTTTGAATACAGGGAACAGTCACAGTGATGGTACCCAACTCAAGTAAACATTTCAAACCCGACAAGATTACAAGTGCACTACACACAGGGACAGTAACTTTGATCGTGCTGGTTTAATAATGGTAAATGGCCTGTATTTGTGTAGCGCTTTACTAGTCCCTAAGGATCCCAAAGCGCTTTACACATCCAGTCATCCACCCATTCACACACTGGTGATGGCAGCTACATTGTAGCCACAGCCGCCCTGACAGAGGCGAGGCTGCCACCGGGCCACCACCAGTAGGCAACGGGTGAAGTGTCTTGCCCAAGGACACAACGACCGAGACTGTCCGAGCCGGGGCTCGAACCGGCAACCTTCCGATTACAAGGCGAACTGCCAACTCTTGGGCCATGATCGGAGGTTAATAAACACCCACATGGCAGCAGTCAGAACTGGAAGAATGAAGTTTTAAAGTGTGGAGTTTAAATTCAACAAACGCAGGCCTCTTTCTGAAGACAACAAAGTTTAGTGTGATACTTACTTTCCAAGAGAACGAGCAGCGAGTTATTGTCCAGCTGGTTTACTTGGACTACTTCTGGACATGGTCTCTCTGTAAGAGCACGCAAACACCTCCACCATTAACAAAAACAACAAAAACAACAACAACAACAACAACAGCAGCAGCACGACTTCACGATAAACACTGATGTGTTTCTGATAACGAGGCGTCAGCTTACCCAGACCCGTGTTGGTGAACCAGGACGTGTTGGAGTTGAGGTTAATGTATTCTACATAGACCGGATGGTTGGGGCTGGAGCCTCGAGAAACACCGATACACACCATCGGGTACTCCTGCTGGGGCACCACCACCATCTCAAACACCCGCAGAGGGCTGGGCAGAGGGAAGTCGAAATGCTACAAGCATGAAAGAGAAAATCAGGAGTTTAACGTCTGTTCGCTTCTCGGCTGAAGGAGCGGCTAACAAAGCAGATCGTTACGGTGTTTTGTTCGAGGACTTATAACCTGCAGGCTTTCAGCCACACAGAAGGAGCAACCGAGGACACCTGGGTCTGTTCTCCAAACCATAACAGTTTTATGGTTAGAGGCCTCAGCTCTAACTCGTAAATTTAATGGAGACAATAAAAAAGCTTTGTGTGACCGCCGGCAGTCATTTTATAAGCTGCTGTCAATGTTAACAGCCCACTAAAAAACATAAAATCAAAACAGAAACACGTTTAATAAAAGCGGCACGACTGTGGCACCATTTCAGGTACATCTCAGATCATCACATAATCTTTCTTGTGTTTTCGTCGTGTCAATAGATTTCGGCGTTAACGGGTTTTCCCATCTCAGCAGGTTTACAGTTTATTCACTGCAGGTTCGGGGAATTTATGTGGCTGAAACCTACTTTTCTGTGGCACTGCTTGAATTATTTCATACTAAAATGCTTCTTTACATCCTGTGCATGTTACACTAACTGAACATAACTGGAGACAATAAATAAATCAAATAAAACCAACTAGAAGCTACATCAGGAGGTGTTTAAGGGTCCCAATACTTACAATTTGTGCATCGAGCATTAAAATTTCAGCACCAATAGAATCTATGCATGATGGGGAAAGAAGTATAATGCAGTAGCAGGCTTGTTTAACTTTGTGCTGGATGCCAACGCTGTAAAAGTCAAGTTTCTGTCACTGATTTTGCTCTTCTGAGAAGTGAAAACAGAAAGGACCGAATGCTTTCCTTAGTAATTCACATTTGACACACGTACCTTAATCAGCATGAACTTGTGCATGGGCTCGTACCACTGCAGCAGCACCACACTGGACTCCAAAGCACAGCACAGGAAGGCACAGCCTCGCTGCATGTTCCCTGCTGCGAGAGGCAGAAACAAGCAACAGATCAGCCGGTTTTCACTCAGAACTGATCACCATAAACACGCACAGGAATCTGCATCTTTATTTTTATTATCAATATTTTAAACCTCGTCAAACAGTTAAGATAAGACATTACAGGGAAAACATATTTTAATCTCATGCACTGGTCAGTTTTAGGATTATGGTCAACAACAACACTCATGTAAACGCCCAAAGTACACCAAGACAATACCCACACCGTTACACTTCCACCCTGAACTGTTTATACAAGACAAGATGGATGCATGCTTTCACGTCGTTAACACCAAGTCCGATTATTTTAGCAAAAAACAAAACTTATCAGGTCACGCAACATGTCCTGTGTGAATTTGAGCCTCAGTTTCCTGTTCTTAGCTGACAGGATTAGCAACGGTGTGGTCTTCTGCTGCTTCAGAGATGCTCTCCTGCATGCCCTGACTGTCACAAGTATGATCATTCTCCTCTGATCTCGGGCATCAACGTGGCATTTTCTCCCATAGAACTGCTGCCAACATATCTTCTATTGTTTTGGACTGTACTGTGTGAACTTTAGAGATGGCTGTGTGGGAAAATCCCAGCAGATCGGCAGTTTCTGAACCACTCAGACCAATCCGTCTGTCACCAGCAACCACGCCGCCTTTAAAGTCACTTAAACCACCTTTCTTCTCCCTTGTGACGCTCAGTTTGAACTTCAGCTGGTTTTCTTGACCATGTCTACATGCTTCAATGCAATGAATGCAATGAATAGATAGTTTCATGAATCAGAAGTTGAACAGGCCTACCTAACACAGTGACCGAAGAGTTCAGATTAGCATTTCTAATGAGATAACAGCTCATTTCCAAACTGAAAATGTTAAAAAACTTAGTAAAACTAAACTAAAGTAATCACCTGCAGAGGTTTGATGTAAAGAATTCTACTGAAAAGAGCTTTAAAAGAAGTTTTAAGACTGAAATCTTCACATCAGCAGCATTTTCCAGTTTTACATTTAGACAGACTTTAAGAAAACCTATCACGATTTCTCTAATTTAATAATTCAGCTGCTGTAGTTTCATGTTTTACACTCTTCCCCTGCGGTGTTTCCCCTTTAGGGGATGTAGAGAAGTGAAATAGAAACTCTGACACAAAACCAAGTATCGAATTACGCCTGAACAGAATCTGTTCTCACCGACTGAGCAGGTCCTGCAGCCTTTGGTGTCGGGTATTTTAGACGTCACCGCACATTTTCTAAACACAAAAATGCAGAAAATCAGCGTTTAAATGGGACGAGCGGATCTTTCAATCACGACTGAAAATTAACTGCAGAGAAACTTCGTGTGGTTGTTACCTAGGCAACAGTCTGTGAGTTGGTAAGGCGCTCATCCTCTGGTCTTTGCGCGCCTGTTCGTGCAGCTCCTTCAGCATGTGGGAGTGAAGCTGCGACGATTTACCTGCAAACGCAAAATCAGACACAGTTCACGAACTGATCTGCAAACTGTTTACAGACTCCGACATCACCAGACCTGAGATCAAATCCACTAAATGCACAAAGTCACAGCAATGCTCACTTATTTGTCTGGTAACTTTTACCAACAATCATGTTAAATGTTTACATGAGACATCAAAGGGACAAAGAATCAGGTAAAAGTGTCAAATTAAAAAAGAAAGAGATAAAATTGAGTCTGACAAGACAGTCGGTGAAGAAAAAAGAATAAAAAATTCTTATTTTAATTCAGATTTTAACAGTTTTAGACTGGACATGTTTAACTAAACAGACCAAAGCAGTTCCAATAACACTGAACAAAGAGGCAAAGAAAGAAGGTAAAAACAATTAATGGAAACATTTGATTTTAATGTAATCAAAGGTCCTTTGACCTATTTAATTAAGGCATGTCCGTGGGTCTACCAGCAGCTTCCTAATGTGTTCTTTAAAGTGGACCCATTACACCTTTTCCTTATTTTCTGACACGTATGCTGTTACAATATCAGATATTCATGTTAAACATGGCTGACATCTCAAATACTTTTCAAAATGTATTGAAAACAAATGTTTGCTTTGCAGTTTTTCTCAAGTTTAACAACCACTGGGTCAGGGGTGGGCAACTCCAGGCCTCGAGGGCCGGTGTCCTGCAGGTTTTAGATGTGTCCT